CGAATTGCTGGAGAATTTGGAGATGCCGTTTGATTCATGGGGTTCTGGATCTAACATAGTTCAAGATCTGATCGTTCCGTATGATATGTCGATCAAAAAGCAAAGCCCTAGCTTTGGGAGGTCTAAGCAGGTAGTTTACAAACAGCTTGAGGAGTTGCTCAAGATCGGTGACGATGAAAGAGACGACGGCGGTGGAGGAAGCGTCACGGAGCAGTCTCCGACGACGTCGTTTACATCTTTGCTTATGCAGCAGTACCAAACTCCTTGTGGTACGCAATGGAATGCTACTAATCATGGCAGTGGCCAAACTACACAGGTCCATCTCTCTTGTCTATCTCGATTGATTTTGATGTGTCTTTGAAATGCGTGGAACATGTTACTGTTGAAGCTTAGGCCTCTAAATTGTCAAGTTACATTCTTTCAATAGCAGAATCCATCACATTCCTTGGAAATTTAGTGGTCCTAGTTAGAGATATACTCTGTTTCAAGGTCTCGGCTTCACAGTCGAATGTACATTGTTGCAGATATGGGATTTTAACTTGGGGCAGTCCAGGAACCCTGAGGAACCTAGTCCAGTGGAACCTAAAGGAATGAGACTTGTCCCATTCAACAACTTAGCTGATGTCAAGTATGCGACTTGTCCTACCAATGTCAAAGATTTCTACCAGGTAGTAGTAGCAAAGTGATTGTGATTAAGTTTTTGGAATCGTAAACCGTTTCATATCTTACAAAATTGACAAACACAATGCTGAATTACTAAAGTCTCCCAATTTAGCAGAGTGTAGGTAAGAACAGTTTGTTCTAGAGGCACTAAACTCTTTCAAGCCCCTGAAACATTTCCATACACTAATCTTTTAAATCATTCCCTATATATGCTAAACCCAAGTTGTTGACTGATTTGCTGATGTAGCATGTGTAGCTACTTCATCTTGGTTCTTTTCTTGTTGGTTTTACCTCTGCAACTATATACCAACTTACTACATCTTGTAATTATATCATGTCGTGCGGGAGAGCTTGAATGAATCTAGATGTATTGATATATCATAGTTTAATCTACTTTGTTGGTGTTTCTTTCGCTGTGAATTGTGATACTTAATTAGTTCTACTAGCAGGATGATTCCGTCAACTCAGCTTCCGCCAAGGGACAAGCAACATCTAAGAGCAACAATCTTCCCACTATCATGGACTCACAGAAGAGTTGTAACAACTCCAAGGACTTACATCTCACGGAACATGTTTCTATGCCTAGTAATAGAACCAAAAGATTGGCGGCGGTTACGAACGTTGATTTAGAGCAGATGGCACTGAACAGAGACAATGCTATGCAGCGGTACAAGGAAAAGAAGAAGACACGGAGGTAATAATAATGTTCTTCGTTTACTTTCCCTTTTGTAAATTGATTCTCTCCAAAACCCTAAGACGTTGTAATTTCTTCATCAGATATGATAAGACCATAAGATATGAAACGAGGAAGGCAAGAGCTGACACCAGGTTGCGTGTTAGGGGCAGGTTTGTGAAAGCTACAGATCCTTAAGTCTCTTTGCATGTGAGCTCATAAGTTAGGAACCTTTTGTTTATTTATCTCACCAACCTTGTAAATGCAAATGATCCATCTTTTAGCTGTATAATACGGCTAGCTTTTGTCTCTCTTTGTTTGGTTAGGTTATTGTCTTTGTTTGTATCCTTGAAACTGCTTTGTTTTATCCTTGTAGAAGCAATGTCTAAGTTTATGTAATGGACTAAAAAGTAAAAATTGTGCTTAAACGTTAAGTACAAAAGAGTGGTAAACAATGGAGAATGCGATCATTTCGCAACGAATAAGACGACTTTATTCAACAAGCCTTTAATCGACAAGTGATTTCATTTAAAAATTCACAATACATTTAAATATTATGATTTTGAAAATAAAATTGTCGTAATTTTCTGTACAACGCATGCATTAACTTGGTGCAAAACTTGTTAAAATCTCTATCTTCTTTGCTTGGTTTGAAGATCTGCCAAACGCATCGGTCCAATACAAAATAAATTTTTTTTTTTAACATTAGATTATTATCAATGTTTTGAAA